AATAGCAGCAAGTGCAGGATAAATAATGGTTCCATAATGTTAGAGATTGAACTAACAGATTCTGCAGAGTGGGAGAATAGAGATAGAATGAAGCAGAATGATGAAAAGGGGTCCCTATGTCCTCCAGCACTCTAAGCCTATAGCAGCATAACTATAGAGATAGCTCAGGATAACCTGAGCCACTCTAACTATAAGCTTTATCAGAAAGGAAACGCATGCAGTCTCTTATTCTAAGTGTATTTTATTTAATTATCCTATTTTAAGGGTAAACCTACTCAGTCCATTGGCAGATCATCTTATTTACTTACTCAAATGAAGGGCAAAATACACTTATTTTAAGACCAGTTTTTGTAGTGTGCTAATCTAGATGTGCTGTTGTTGTTTAGTATCACTGATGTTACACGTCTTTCTCTTGGCAGTGAGAAGTGTCGGCCTGTGGCGGAGCTTCCTAATGGTCCTCTAAAAGAAATGTCCAGCATAGAGGAGGCAAAGTATGTCTGACCTCATTATCGCTCCCATTTCTTTAATTTTGGAAGTTTTTTTTCCTCGTTTTTTTGTTTGTGTTGTTTCTTTGAAGAGCTCTACTCAAACTATGGTCTGTTGGAAAAATAGAATAAAATCCTGGATGCCATACCTGTGTGTTTTTGACATGTGAGGGACTAAACGCCTCAGTAAAGACTTTCAAAGAACGCTTCCAGTTAAAGAAATAATAGCAAAATGCTAAATTTCATCGCACTTCAAAAGGATAAATTACCTGTTTTAGATCCAAAAACCTCCAGCGATCCCACCAATTTTTAAAAAGTCCTTAATTGAATTCTGCAATAAGGCCTCAATTGGTGTAAAAAGTCTTCATTCTTTCATAAGTTTTAAGACTGTTTTCACACCATAAGTAGTATTATTTTTTTGTAATCCATATCAAACATTAAATCGTCCAGCAGCTTAAGTTCAGTTTTTCCAATTCTAGAAAATAAACTATACTAGACCTGTTTCTGGATTCTGCGCCATTTCCCTTTTTCCTCTGATCACGGAGCAGCCGTCTTGGATTCGCAATGAATCCTGGGATATCATAGGCTAGATAGGATGCAGTGGACCCCTCCTTGAAATCGGGCAAAAATGACACATTTGTCAGCCTCATAACGAGGAGTCTTGGAATCCGACCAGACCTCGGCGTAATCTGCCTTCTGAGGACGCAGCCCATGAATTCTAACAGAGCCACTGGCTGGCCATGAGGAGCGTCTCACTGCAGTCCTGTTAGCCTGGAAAAAATCCCTAATTTTTTTAATGATAAAATCGAGATTTATTTTAAATTTTACCTGCAATTAAATCCCTTAATTTCTTACAATAAAAGTGAGATTTGATATGTTTGAACATTTAATTAAGTCTGTTTTGGTTCCAGCCTGAGCTCTAACTAATGTAGATCTGCTCCTTTTCTAGGCTGGACAGGAATTCTGTTTCCTCGGAGAACGCCATAAACGGCCCAGCGTGAGGACCCGGTGTACTGAAGGCCAGCTCGTTCCCCCCAGCAGAGGGCAGCACTCAAAGCTGAACCAATCACAAGTCCCAACAGGACCAGCAATACTCCCATTGGCTCATTATTGATGGAAAGGCCAGCAGGTGTACAGAATGATCCCAAAAGCAAAACGAGAGATGGACTCAGGCGCATAGAGAATAATTTTTTTCTGCATTTGTTTATATACCGTTGTTCCTATGAGGTGATGTGCGACTGATATCTTGACACTCGAAATGAAATAGTAATGTTGCTATAGTTAAAGACATGATTGTATGAATAAAATATTTTATGAAAACAAAAGGTTTACAGAGACATGCTGAATAAGACCGAGCCGCAGGATGGGATGTTTCTGCAGGCGTTCTGCCAGTGTGAGCATTTTTTTTTTCTTCTATTATAAAATAAGAATGCCTTTTTTTTCTGTGGCTAAAGATTCCTCTTTCCAGTGAGCTGCATTCAAGGTGAGAGGTTTTTAAAATGTTCTCACAGCACGATTAGCTGTTAGTTTGGATGATTAGAACCAAAACATCTGGTAACTGGGAGCTTCGCAGTTTAGTACCTGGAGTTTAACCTGATCTGCCAACTTGTTTCAGCCAGCTGACCAGCAGTGCTGCTTCAATCTACGCTTCCTTCATTTTCAGCAGCAGCATTTGATTCTTAGCTGAAGAAAGACGAGGCTGGAATATGTTTAACGCTACTTTATAAAAGCAGAAGGTCTGGTGTTGGTTTAGCTCTGAGGCAGATCAAGCTTCTCATCTGAGTATCTGAATGAAACCAGGGAGCTGATTGGAGCTTTCAGAGGAAACAGAAGCAAATCAAACTATTAGCATCATGGAAGAAGTGGAGTATTAATGGAGAGCGGACTACTAGAGGAAGCTAAGGTCAGATGCTGCAGATCTGCCATCGTCTCCCTGAGTAATGGCATCAGAGCAAATGACTGAAAGAAGCCGATAAAGAAGGTGGAGTGGTTAAAGAAGTAGTTATTCATAAAAAGAGCTTTCAAAAGTATTAATGTTAATTACTCCAGTAGAAGTATAAATCTTACTGTTTTAAACGACAAAGTATAAAAGTACTGCAGGAAAAAATGTTAAGGACAGACACCTTACTGCTCTACCCTATTGAAGGAAAATTTTTCTACATTTAACTTTCAATCATCTTCATCAATTATTTTGGTTTGTGGTGAGCAACAAGTTGGGGCAGCACCGAGTCCAACTACAAAGAAATTGTCTGGATGAAACTGATTATTTTGATTGTTTTTTTTTTTTTTTTTTTAATACCAACAGGCTATAATGAAAATGAGCCTAACTGAAACTAACGGTTGTCTAAAGAATAATTACTTTAGTTCATAAAGTGAACATTATGGACTATAGTGAGCATCCTGGTACGATGCGGTGAGTAAAGAGGGCAGATTTAATCCTGTCTGTTTTCTCAGGGATCAAACATGAATAGTTTCTCTAATGCCAATCAGGATGCAGTTTTCAACAATAAAACCAAACATCTAGTTTGGTTGTTTTTCACTCGGATTTAATTTATCAACAGATCTCTGCGTGTAAGCTGCCTAAAAGCTTTAAGAAGGTTAAATATTAACACAGGAATTATGAGGTTTGAAAGGGAGGTTGCGCTTTTATTTTGAAATGAGAGGGTTTAGCAGGGGGTGTGCTTTTATTTTGAAACCTGGGGGCCAGGATTTGTATGGGGTGCCGTGTGTAAAGTTAAGCAGTCAAAAATTAGGAGCACTATTTGCTTATTTAGTGAGTTTTAAGAGGGAAAAAATTGGTTTATTTTTTTTATAAGTCATTTTTTTCACTAGGTCTTTCATTCTTTTAAAAAAATCTTACTCTGTTAAATATTTAGTTTGGAGCTAAATACTTAGTTTGCTAATCTAATATTTAGTTTGTTAAATAAATATTTAGCTCCAAACTAAATATTTACTTTGCTAAATAAATATTTTACTTGCAGCTAAATATTTATTTAACAAACAAAATATTCAGTTTGGAGCTAAATGTTTATCAGACTAAATATTTAGTTTGTTAAATAAATGTCTTACTTGAAGCTAAAAAAAAATAAGTTTGGAGCTAAATATTTAGCTCCAAACTAAACATTTATTGAACAAAGTAACGTTTTATCAATAAATGAATGAATTAGTGAAAAATGGAGTAACCATCAATATTTCGGACTGCTTAACTGTACTTCCTGCTGCGGCTGTTACGTCACCTCCTACGTTGAGTCGTAATGATAACGCGTCTTTCGTCACGTTCACTTATGCATTTATCCCGATGTGAAATATGCAGGATAGGTACAATGAGATAGGCTTCGCTCAGCAGATCCTCGGCTTGAATTTAGTCCCGAGGAAAAACAGCACCCTGCGAGGGAACGACACCTCCCTCAGCGACTTCTCAGGTAACCCCCGCTTAGCTGTTAGCTGGCTAACTAGCTAGCTGGCTAACTAGCTAGCTAGCCACCCAGGCGGTGTTTACAGACTGTAGCCCGATAAAGTTCCCCGTTTCACCGATGACATTTCCCCCATAGAGGTCTCTAAAATTATACCGACTTTAAAGTGGGAGGGGCTACATGTTAGCCTCAGGGCGACAGCGTCGTTAGCTAGGCTAACTTTCTGTTTCCTGTAACTTCTTTTTTCCTCTGAGTGTGAAAATCCAGAAGCTGTTAGCAGAGTGTGCATCAGTGAAAGGCTGGATGAACTTCAGTCATGGCTGCTTCATCACATCTGTTTAGCTAAAGTCATAATAATGTTCTGTTTTGGTTTTAAACTTGGTTGTTTTAGTGAAGGTCAGATAAAAGGTGTAAAAAATGAAATGTGTAGAAATGACTGCTTGTTA